AGTGTTTAGATGAGACTTGGATAAAACAGATATCTAGATTCTCTGTCTCCACTCCCATTCTCACTCCCCTTTGCCCACAAACTAGGTGCAAAGACAGACTAATGAACAAAGGAAGTGTCTGTAGGAGCCTCCTGTTCAGGCACTGGCAGCACAACTCGCTATATCTGCGAGGAACTGCTTCTGTTCTCAATCTGACCAATCCCAAGTTTCAAATCTGAGCCTGTATTACCCAAACCCACTAATCCAGCTGCCCTTTCAAAATGCTCCCATTTGTGCTATCTACACAAACAAGTTAATTTTCTTCAGAGCCCTAGGTTTATGTTAAAGGACTAGTGCTACAAGCTTTTAGCACAGCTGCAATGGACTGAGTCCAGTGGGAGCATCTGAGGAGAAGAGGAGTGTTTCTGTAGATAAGGGCGCTTCATCAGTTACAGTCAAAAAGAAATCATCAGGGTGAACAGGGTCTTGCCTTCCCTTAAGTCAGGGAGAAGAAAATAAATCATGACTGACCCCTAAACAAAAGAAAAAGATTGCTGAGGATGCTATAGAGGTTGTCTTTGGAATGTGGAAGTCAAGACATGTCTCACCATCCCACAACAGATAGTGAAGACACCTAATAGAAGTGGCTAGTGGAGACTGACATGGCCTAATCAAACATGCAAAAGTCATAAAAATCATTCCCTCCGTCTGAGTGCCAGAGTTTCAGGTGTCCTAAGACTTCTCTCAGCCTCTTATATAAGTCTCCCATCATGCAATTAACCAAATTATACTCCATAAAAATAACTCAGGAGAGAAGTATAGGGCCTCCCCTCCACAGGGGCATGGAATAACGCTCTCAGGGTGCCTTATTGCAAGAAACAAATTGCCCTCAATGCAGCATGACCCAGTGCCTACTGAGCTGTGTGTCAGGCTCAGAGAGCTTCAGGGAGCTCTATTCCAAGCACTATCATGAGCAGTGCAGCAGGAATTCAGTATAGGCTCTAGCAGCACCACTTACTGCACCTTGACTTGGGCTTCTCTGAGCAGGTTTATAGTGAACAGACTTCTTCTTTGGGTTGTCATCCTCACGATAAATTGCTGCTTATGTTTCAAGGGATAGGGAGAGGTTTACCACACAGCATCAGCATTGGCAGGCACAGCACTCTGGGCTTTGTCTAGCAGAGAGCAATAATAAGATGTAGGCATAATTCTGAAGTGTCACCGTAACTGGTGCCATTGCTCAAAACAATTATACTATTGCAAGTAATAGTTGCCTTCAGTCTGGCAGGCAACTGTTCAGTCAGTTGGGTACAAACTTGGTGGCTAAGGCTGTATCAATGTTTGGAAATAATGTGGCACAATCTAAGTGCATCTGTAGAGTGAAACAGGTCATGCACGGACCCAAAATCCACATATGCATTTTGAGCAGGTTTATTTCAAACCAGCTCTAATTTGATCTCACAGATAAACACCGGTGAACAACGAGAGCAGTCCTGACGTGAATTAAATCGGTAACATGGATGCACGCTTTGGTTGCTTGTTGTGACAGAACTCAGCTGTAAAACACTCATTAACTGGTTCAGAAGAGGATTTGGCAGAGGAGAGGCTTTACACAGCAATTGCAGCAGGCCAGGAAAGTCTCAGATACCATATCCCTTTACTACACAGAACTCCTGCCAGAATAAGGCTATATAGTTTACTTACTTTCTATGAAACATTGCAGTCATTTCCAACAGCTGCAGACAAGGGAAGGGCAACTTCCCGTTCAAGAGCACCTGACCCTCGCCACCACCAATTTTCCCACTCCCTCACCAGCTCACCTCCTCTTCTCCCAGTACCAGATCCAAAAGGCAACTCTTAGTGCATTGCAACTTGAGCCAACTAGAAAAAGAAAACAACCAAGTTTAGTCCCACAGAGTCCCAGCTGGTTTCTCATGTTCTTCTGCATTCACCTTCTAAGAGGTTTCTTCCTCTCTTCTTAGCAATATCAGAGATTTCATGAGTGAGGAGAACCCAGTGACATTAACTCTGAATACTGAACTATCCTTTATAACAAAAGTGCTACAGAATGGGTCTAGTGAGAAAGGCTTTTTTTGACTTGGCCATAAATCAAAGTTCCTGAATCAATAGTTTTTATTCACCCTACTCGCTTGCAGGATTTGCTGTGACAAGAGTAGTGAATTCAACAGAGAAGGAAAAAATTCTCACATATTAAGTGTTGTTTTCAGATTGGTGAACAGAGCATCTGACTAAAAAGGTGTGTGGGGAGGGGTTGTTTGTTTCCCCTGAAGAATTACTTAATGCTTGTAGCAAAGAGGCCAACTGGTAAAAGGAAGAGAAGAAAATACTTTATATGAGCTCAAAAATAAGCACTTCAGTTTCTGAGACTATCTCTTCATTTTTGAAGAAATATTTGGATTTTACTTGAAAATTAAAAAGATCAAAGAAAAAATTGTTATGTTACCTTAAAGATGAAAAAAAGTACTTCAACATCACTATTATCTTTCTTTCACTGAACCCAATATTGGGCTTGAATAACAGATTGCACATCTTTGTGGGTGAGACAGAAGCAGAGAGAAGTGGACATGAACTTAAATATGTATTTCAAATTTTATTATTAATAATTTCAAAATAAAATATAATTATATTTTATTTTATATATAATTCTAAGACATTACTTATGTCCAGCTATACCTTCCATCTAAGAAACTAATTTTTAAAGCAACTCCAATTATATTTTTTTAATAAAACTTCTCTTGACAATAAAGAATCAGGATCAAAAATAACCAAACCTTCCTAAAGTCTGATGCCCAAATACCTATGTATGAGTGTTATTCTAACTAGCTTTGTGTTTCAATTCCCTGTAGAGAGAAGGGTCCATAAGTGACATCTCTCTCAAAATTAATCTTTCCATCAAAATTGGACTGTATTAGTAGAGGTGTCAAGAAAATAAAAACTATTGTAGGGCAAAGACAGTGGGAAAGAGGGCAGAACTTCCCAGGCTGAATGTGAGTAGGTAGGAAAAGAAGGAAGAACATTCCATAAAGACAAGTATGAGCAGGAATATCAGGTGCTGATTGGTGGGAATGAGCAAACTGCAGGGCAGTGCTGAGCCTCTGAGAGGAAATGCAAAGGATATGGAGAAACAAAATGCTCTCCTTATTGCACCTACGCAAAAGAGCTAGAAAATCTCCCAGGGGTACAAGGACTTGAGCCGTGCAAATGCATGCAACTGGGAAGGGATGGGGAGGCAGAAGATGAAGAGGCGCAATTTTGGTTCTATTTTACACAGTTTAATGCTCATCTTGCAACAGGTACAACCGATTCCTGTATTTCTGTGTATCAACCATTCTTCCACCAGGATAACACCAATCATCTGCAACTATCCAATATGTTTACACAGAGTCTTAACCATATGTTCCTATGGCCTATGTGCCAAAAATCAGAGCAACTTCCTATCAAAGGCCTGCTGAAATTCTCTGAGTGAGAGCCAAACTGCCTTACTTGGTATGATACCATAGCAACTCAGAGTCCCCATCACTACTTAACTCTCGAGGTCCTTGAAAAAGTCTCACAAAGCACAGCAAGTACGTGTGGTCCTAGACATGTGGGAGATGCAGGGATACAAACAAATGTAAATACTCTTGTCTGAACAACAGAACACAGTGGAAGGAATATAGGGAAGAGACCCCTGGGTTCAAAGGTGGAGGCCAAAAGTTAGGCAGAGGAATTCGTCCCTGCTCTGGTCAAAATTGATCAGATTTTCAGCTTTTGCATACAAACACTTGAACCTCATGTTTCTCTGTGGGCACTGACACCTGTATGCACAAGAGAATGACTTTTCAAACACCAAACCCTCCTAGATGATGTGTTTTCTCTTCTGGGAACTTCAGGTCTTTAGAATAAACTACAAAGTCATTGACTGAAACTAGGGGAAAGTTTTGGTATTTGTTAATCCTACAGTTATCTCTGAAAGTGTCTTTTGGATATATAATTGTAATCTATTTTATGGTATCGCGCACAAGGTTTGCTGCAGGTGCAGGTCTAGGCTGCCAGTTTTCCTTGATGAAGGGAAAAGAAAGGAAAGGAAATGGAAGGCACTAAATTCCTGTAATTTTCCCAATAGGGAAACAATGAGGCTAGGAAGGTGCTCGAGAGAATGAACACTCAATAGCTAAATTAATGACCTGTCTATTTTCATGTTCTCCTTGTCTTTAACGTCCAAGAAGCAAACTATTCAAATGGATTATCACTTGAACTACTTTGGGTAACAGCGTGCAGGTGCTTGAAGGGTCTGCAGACAGAGAAGCTTTGAGATCTATGTCTATTCTACTTGAAGGCATTCACATGTATGACAGAATTCCCGAGTACACAGAAAGCATGAATCCAGTCATAAAATTTATGTGAGTCTTAGAATTTTGTAAAATCTGAGTTTCAGTTTTCCTTATGTGATTGCTATCAAATCATGATTTTATCACAAGCCTAAACATTTTTATTTAAGAGTCCCTTCTCCTGGAGACAGGTAGTTGTGAAACAAACAAATAAAAAATAAATTAACTTCTCTTATGAAATAGTTTCTAAGAGTCCTTTTTTTTTAATAGATAAGCAGTTGAAGTGATTGTTTAAGTAAAGCCCAATTCCTCAAATACCAACAGTCAAAGACAAAAATATTAATGGACTATTTTGAAGTCAGTCTCATGATTTGTAAACAGTTGAGAATATTAACACTAGAACAATCTTCTTGCCTGGTTAGCATACTAGAATGATTAAATACTTTAAACCAGTTTAAATAGTTTTAAGTGCAACATAAATGTTTAGATGTTAGTTAACTACTGTTGCTTTCTTAAACAAAATGGTTACTCAAGACACAGCAAGTGCAAATAGTGCTTCTCAGCACAAAGCCAAACCCGTAGCTTCCACACTATATCAAATTTTTTAATGCTGTTTTCAGAAATGCTTGAAACTTTCAAGGAATCTAATATGTTTTCCCTATGTGCTCTCTTCTTTCCCCTTGTTATTAGGTATCAAACCTGCTCAAACAATGGGCTGGTGGCTGGTTTCCAGAGCCAGTATTTTCCATCTGTGCTGGACCGTGAATGGCAATTTTACTGCTGCCGCTACAGCCGGAGATGCCCATATTCATGTTGGTGAGTTCAAGCAGAAACCAAACCTGTGAACCTCTTTCCCCCAACAATCCCTAGAAATGTCTCTGGCTCCTTGGCCTGTCAAAAACCTTGTCTGAGAAAAGTAAATGGTGTTTTATGGGGCTAAGCATGTTATTTCCAGTCTGCTACAGGATTGTAAGGATCTATGGCTAAGGGAAGAGAAGGAGGGCACAGTTACAATGAACAGCACAACGCAGTACCTGGCTATACTGGAAACCATGACAGAAGTCTCCAAAGTCAAATGGCATTTTCCCATTGTAAATCCTGCACATTTAGAGTAGTAAGAGCATCTCTGCACTATACATTTGTGCCACGATGACTTACAGGAGTGAACTTAGACCTGTTACCTCAGAAAAAATATTTGTAGTGCGTACAACTTGCTTCCTCTCTCAAGGCTGTTTGAAGACCAAAGTCAAACTACTGATCATAAACCTTAAAAAAAAAAGTGGTCTCACCTCAACACAATATGACAACTGGTGCTGGCAACTTCACAGAGGCTGTGGAAAAAATGAGCTACAAATCCTAATCTTTGGTCTATCTGTAGGTGTGGTTTCTCTAAATTAAGACTGAAGACAGTAGCAGACTGTAGAGAAAGTTCGTACTGCTCCTCTCCATTCTGTCTAACAGAACTCATAATTTCATGCTCCAGGGCTACAGTCAGGTTAAATTTAGCTATTCTTAATGATACAAAGAATAATCTGCCTGCATTTAAGGGGAAAAGAAAACAAAAAAAAAAGGGGGGGTAAATCTGTGCTTGAATCTTGGTTTCCAGACCTCAACTTTGAAGTAACTTCCCATTGAGATCCATACAGACTGTTTAGATGCCCCTTGGTCTTACTTGGCTGGCTGGCTACTGGCCAAACACAACAGCATTGCCTTGTTTTTCATCCTTTGGTCTACTTGCAGCCAGAAAGAAAAGAAATGTTTTCATTATTATTATTATTATTATTTTTAAAGACTTCAAATTATAGAAACTCTGTAACAAAGTCTTTGAACATTCTTTTGAACATTCTTCTGTCTTCTTTCCAGCCGACACTGCCTACGAATGTTCTCTACTGGGGGGCTTATTTACATACCTGCCCAGGTTCTTCCCTCTGAGGGAAACTCACTCTGACTTTTAAGCAGTTCTTCCAATTTATCTTACTCCTCTAATATTGCATGTATTTTCAGAGAGACAAGAGAAATCTTCTCTGACTTCTTTTGTTGGCAGTTCTGCTTCCCTTAGACGTTGTCTTGACAACAGGGAACAGCTTTGCCTCTGCCTTGCAAATTGACATTCAGAGTAAGGCAAATCCTAATGTAAATGTTTGGGGTTACTGAAGTCTTTAGTTTCCATCCCAGCTGCACATGAATTCCTATACTGTCCTTTTGTTTCCAACAGTGACAACACTCCATTTTTATGCTTGGAAAAGAATGCCTTATGCAATTCAGCTGCAGTTCCATGCAGAAAAGGCAACATTTCAAAGGCAGGTGAAGTGTTTCTCCCTCTAAGCAGGGTAGAAATCCCACATGCTCACAATTCTTCTGGAACAGAAGAACTGCAGAACTTCTGGAAAGACCTGTCACCTGGCTTGTGAAAAGCTTCTGGTGCATAGTTTGTGCTTATGGGTTCATTATAAAACCATCTTGTACCATGTAGTACCAGACTCAGTCACTCACCAGGAGCCCACTTCACTCTGTTCAAGCTACTGGTCTATCTTGACACTCCTATATCCACCCTTGGCCTGGAGAGTCTCTCATACAGTTTCTCCTACTTGAGAGTCTTGTTTGACCTTACTCTCTTGAAGTGTCTCCTTACAATATATTTCTTACAATTTCTTTCACGCTTTCATTCTGCCTTTAGAGTTAGCAAGGTGGATATAAGTTCTTTCCACATGCATTTATCCAAATTAGGATGTTACAATCTGGATGGACATACAACTAGATGGGTTTAACAGGCTGGGAGGGTAGTGGTTAAAGGGGGATACCCTGCCTGGGTGCCCATTAGGAGCAGAGAACTGTAACGAATGGTCTGCCCTGGGACCTGTCCTGCTTAACATCTCTGTCAATGACCTTGACGAGGAAACAGAGCACATGCTCACCAAGTTTGCATAAGATTCCAAACTGGAGAGAGCAGCTGACACTCTTGAGGACAGGACAGCTGTTCACTGGGATATAAAGGAAATCTTTTCCTCTATGAAGACAGTGAGATAGTAGAGCAGGTTGCTCGCTGAGGCTCCTTGGAATTTTTTAAGACTGAACTGAATAAAGGCCTGAGAAGCCTGGTCTGACCTTGTGGTTGAGCCTGCTTTGAGCAGAGGATTGTAGCAGAGACTTATTGAGGTCCCTTTCCAGTAGTTATCATGGGGTCCCACACAGGAGGATTTTTTTGCTTGGAGGATCCACATCATGCAGATAAACTCTACCCTCCAAAACAGTTGTCTCTGGGAATTGTTTCTTTCCTGTTTTATTTCCTTCACCCAGCCAAGACAGTGCACTAATACTCTGGGTGAGTACTACTTGTTATGCTTATATATGAGCAACATGAACTGCAATGGGGTAGTGTGAAACCCCATCCTTTAGGCCCACTTATACTACTACAGATGTGACTGGGCTGAATTGTTAAACTTCAGTGTACAGCAACTAAAATTCCCATTCCCTGAGCCCAGGAGATCTCACTCACTTCCATGAGCATTTCCAAGTTATTGTCACAAGATATTGTTCACACTCCACACTTCTGTTTAAAATACATTTGACAGAGAGAATATGTTTTCCAAACAATCTGCAAAGCAGTTCTGGGCCATGGGTAAGACCTCAAAATGTATATGCATATAAGACCCAACAAAAATGTGTGAGTATATAGTATCATTATTTATTGTAGTTTCTGCCCCAACCTACAATGGCATTTTTTCTGTTCCAGAAACTAGCTGTCAATAAACTAACTGTGGAGGAATGTTTATTAACATGCTACTGACTCCTATTTCTTGGTTGAAGCAGCTTATTTGCATGCAATCGGTATATGACTATGTGGAAAAGTAGTATCAAGAAAATATGGAAAGATGGTAGAGCCTTGTGGATCATGTATGACCATGGAAAATCCATATTCAAAGACAATCAGAGCTGCAGAATTTCTCAGCAGCCTTAAATTTTAATGTGCAATGAATCCTTAAGTATGAATCCTTAAATATGGGCAGAAAGGCATTTTTAAGAAAACTGACAATACTGAGGTGTAAAAAATCTCTTTGTTTCAAATTAGCTCTCACCTTGGGTATTTGATCCCGTCCTCTTCCAGTTTTCTCCACAGAGGGCTCTCTGGCAAATATAAAAGCAGCAGCTGATCCTTATGTGTGGTTTCTCTTGGCTCCTCAATTTCAGGAGTACATTCCTCCCCAAGTGAGTTGGCCTTCCCTACAACGAATAAAGGCAGGTTTTCCTTATGTGTATGAGCTATGCAAATGGTTTGTTAGAATTTGACCTGGTTTTTACAGCTGGAACATTCCTGTGTTTCTTGAGACCTGCTAATGCTTATTGGAATACTAATTTATGACACCAGCATGCTGACTGAAACCCACACTTAAACATTTTGCCTAAGAGCACAGTTAAAGTCAAATACATGCATAAGGATTTTATTTGGTAGAATCTATATCCTTACTCTTAGAACCCAACAGTTCTGTTTCACAGCTCATCTTCTCACAATTAATTTTTCTAGTTTACCTGTACAGTAAGCTTATATAATAAATAAATGTACTAATCTTTTCCAGTCTCATAGTTTTGCACTTGCTTTGTAAAATTTTTTTACAATTACTTTGTTTCCTTCCTCATCATGACAAGACTTGGCATGAATTCTGCAAATTTTTAACATACTGAAAATAATTAACATTCCTCACAGGACACAGAAAAGCTCCTATTACTTTACCTGGCTAGGGATTGCTACCACAATAAAATAAACTGTGTCTTGATTTGCACCCTAAAGGAAGCATATCCATCACAGATGCAGAGACAGTGTCACTAAGTGGTCCCATTAGAGTTCAGACTTTTTTCTTTGCCAAGAAATGAAAGCTTGACTCCATACTCTCAAAAGCAAACACATGTCACTGAGCAGCCCCAAGTCTGCACAGACTGTTTATGACTATTTCCCCTCTCCAAACAACCAGCAGTCCAAATGCCAGAAGGTCTGTCTGGAGCTGTGGCTGCTCTCTGTCATGGTGACATTGTCCAGGCAACAATTACATTTTCCAAGAGTCATGGGGTTTAAAAGTACTTATTTGTTCTCTTGACTCGACCTGCCACACAAGACATATTGAAACTGATGTGATCCTATGCAGGTTTCTCAGAGATAACCAATAGCAGAGATGCAAACCAGGAGGTGAACTCAGAATAGATACAGTGGAAACATGCAGTTCTGGGCAACCCAATTCCCTTCCCCTCTTTTTTTCTCTTTTTTAAGGTATTTAACAGTTTGGGGTTGGGAGTTGGGGTTGGTTGGTTTGTTTGTTTTTTTGTTTCTATAACTCATCAAATACAACCTTATAGTTTGACCTCCAGGGCCATCTTAGGAGAAACACATTTGATTAACATTAGAAAGCCAGCTAATGTTATTTCAGGCATGTCTTTCTTGAGGAACAGGCATAGGTTGCCCTGAGCTCTCTGCTGTTGCTTGTATCTGTGTTGCACTAACTCATGTAGGCCTTGAGGAAGAACTGTGGCCCTACTGTGCCAGCCTCACGGCTCCTCAGCCCTGTGAGAATTTGTGATTTTCGGTACAACAAAGTACAAGCAGAAGGGAGCAGTGATGTGTCTAGGTGAATCTATGATCTTAGAGCCCGAAGCTTGAACTCAGTCCTGAAACACACATCACAATGCCACACAAGAAAACTGGTCATCTCTAGAGGAGCTCCAGGACAACCCTAGTTCCCTGGCATCCCAGCAATCTATGCTGGGAGAATTTGCAGGAACGTCTGTAGCCAGCTTACTTAGACCTTCTTTGGCTTTTCAGCATTGTATGCTTTTTTGAAGGCAGATGACTTCTGTCTTCCAGCTGGAGGAAGAACTGAATTGATTAAAGAGGTTTATACTTCCCATGTTCACTGAATGTAACTTGCAGGCTCATGGCTCTTGAAAAAAAAATTCACCTTTAGGAGAGCCACATTCATGAAGTGCTTGTAAATAACGTGTGAAACAGTAAGGCCATTCAGGAGACACTCCTTGTCCTCAAAGCTCAGAAAGTTAACGTTAAAGCTCTTTTTCCTCTTGAAATGTGACAGCTGCTTCTTTTGGCTGTGGCATTGTCAGAGGAAGAGTTCAACAGCAAAGAGGAAAATAAAGGTTAAAGAGGAGCCATTCATCTTGTTAGCACTGTAGTTGCATAAGAAGTGAAAAGTGTAGGCATTTCAAAAAAATGTACTTACTAGCAGGGAATAAGTATATTCAACAGTTGGAGAAAGAAACTCTGAGCTCCACCACTGTCTCTGATATTTTAAAAGACTCGTTTCTTTTGTCTGCTTGATATCTGAAGGCAAGGCATACCCACAGTTCCCATTTACTTCTTAAATGAGCAGGCTGTACATACTAATAAGGTGACTGCTGTGACTTGATCTTCTTGTTGGCAAAAAATAGACCCATGATAACTATTTCTGAAGTCAATTGTTAATAGAGTGCCATGGATCACTGTAAATTAGCACAAAACATTTTTCTCAGTGCTAAATGAGTAACTCTGTTTTCTATTAATCTCTACCATAGCAATTCTTCACCATGGAAAATAAACAACATGGCGATTTTCAGGCTAGAATAAAAACAACAGTAACCCTGAAGATTTTATGCCTTTTTTCAATACATTTCCTACCCCGACCAAGATTTATAGGATTAGAATGAAGTACATTAGAAAAACATGGGGATGGGAGGGGTGATGCAACCCACTCAAAAAATAAACCATTCCACATCAAATCTATACTAGCTAAAAAAAAAATTATGAAAATACCTTTTTCTGTCAGCAATTCCTGCACTCCCCACACAGGCCAAACTACTTACATCCCTTTTCACAAGACTTTTTTCCCATGTTTTTAACATAGAATTACCTGCTTTATCCTCTCTGGACAATGCCACTAGTGCTTTAAGTCTGGTGTCCAACTATCAAACACCAAACACCAGATACTATCCTTAAGTGGATTTGAAAAGCAATTTCATGAGCCCTATTTTTTTGCAAAGAGATCATACAGACTGAAAAGACTACCACTTGTTAAAGGTCTCACAGTACTCTTTTCTCTCCTACAAGTCATTCCCCAGACTTAAAAGCTATGTGCATATCTGGGTTTAACAGACAATTCCACTAAAAGCACCCTGATAGCCCCTACACAGGGGCTACAAATGCCCCTTGGCATATGTTTGGCACCAAATTACTCAGTGCCTAGGTCTAAGATCCGTATAACACACGTTTTCTCACAGCTGCTTTGCAAGTCTCTCTTTAGGACCTTTTGTGATATACCTGCTCAGGCACCACAAGCACCCCAGCTTGGTCTTAGAGAACTTGTATCACCCCAAAGAGCAGCAGTAATTCCGTCTGAACACTTGGCAATTCCTAAGCTTCTCACTGCTCCCCTAGCCAAGTTTTCTTTGCTATGAGTTCAGTGCCTTTAAGTGCTTACAGGGCACTGTGCAGGTTACTGTGGATGGCTCTTCCCAAACAAGTCTTGCCCTTGGGCTTGGACTCCCTAGAAATCTAAACCCTCATGAGCAGGCCCTCACTAATCAGGGCAAAAAGTGTCTCTCCCTGGTTTCATGACTCCTCTCAGGTACAAACTATGCATTGCCACATCTGGCTTACAAATGCTACCATGTTTGTAACTAAATTACATGTCTGTAAGGCCCTGGTAGGTGGTTCACAAGTTGATATGCATTTTATATGCATTAGTGAGTAAAACACACAATGTTTTCAGCTGAATATTCGATAATAATGTTTGCATTAAACACTAGAGCATTTCTCAGTCCACATATTTTGTGTGAATTACCCCCAGGATTCAAAAAATGGAGATAATATTAAAGGGCTGGGTCACACCACAGAACCCTGCTACATGGACAATCAACTGCATTTCCTTCTAAAGGCTACAGTGCAAGACAGCTGACCTTGAGATGCATTGGTTTAGGGGAACAGTTTCACAAATGAGTGCAGCAAACATCAAAGAGAACTGAATTAGACCACACAGACTCAAGTGAACTTAACACTGCTGCCGTAGCGCTATTTATAATTTTTCTCTCCAGAACAAAAGGAGTCAGTAGGCATCTGTCTATGTAACAAGACACACTTCAGAGCAGCTCAAGTCCCCAAATCATTTATTTGCGATATTTGCATATATTTGCTTTTTGAACATTTCTTAGCGGAGGAGCCTTAAGAGACTCAATGGTGATGTGGAGAAGTTAGTAGAGAGGGAGAGGGAGATGACAGCAGTCAGAAAGAAAAGAGAGGGAAGCTAAATGAACACTCATAGCACTTCGGTATAACACTGCATGCTTCTGCCAAAGGTCTGTGAGACCCTTCACAGCAATTCAGAAGCTTGTCATCAGATTCACTGTTCAACTGAGAAACTCATGAAACAAGTTCAAAGAAACGACTCTCAGTTGTTTCTGAGTAGGGCATGAAGCAGCTTTTTAACATTGTGTTGTGCACTGTCTCATCTGCCCAGCACACACTGCTGGTCAAGTTCACAGAACATTTTCCTTGCTGAGTGCCAAACAGATGTTTTGAAACACAACTGGTGGAACATGTATAAACACACGTCTTAGTGTTTTCTCATAATAATAGCCCAAAAAAGCCCCAAAATCTGGAGCTGATTGGAGAAGGTAAAATTAAATCATGGTCCATAGCTGGTCTTGATACAACATTTTAAAACCTTCTAGGACCCAGATATTTTTGAAGATGTGCTATCAGGCACCAAATTAGTAAACTAAAAATGGGGACCGTACTCTGGCTGAGGGACCAATGGACATGGTTTCTTCTATTTCTCCTAGTCCAAAGCAGCTGTCTGCATGAACTCTGAAATTCTGCTGATATTTCTTGCCAATGGCACAGCACTGAGAGGGCTTTGCAAATCCATCTGTCCTCAGTCAAACCTCTGACAACAGATGCTGTGACCAGATCTGATCTTCTGCTTCTGAAACACAGTTTGGGGTGGGTGTCCTTGTATTATAACTCAGAATGTGTTTGAAAATTGCCATGGTCAAAGGACAGGGGACACAAGCATGAGATATGCTCAAAGAAGTTGACTGGTGAGACTTAGGGTTCTTATAAGGCCATACTTGAGTTTCACATTCGGGTTTGTTTTTCATTTGTCAAGAAATAATGATTTGTTAGGAATGATGTTCCAACTGAATGATGCTTTTCTTTCATATTCAAAAGCTGAAAATGACCTGGAAAGCAGCTCAGTTTTCAGGTAAATTTTCAGCTTCTGAATACTCCAACAGTTACTGGTTTGGGCTCCAAATACCCCAAAGCACCTCCTTATAAAAATTCAAAACCATCCCAATAACTATATTCCTAGTGAGTAAAATATTTAAGTCTGTGTTTAAACTCCATTGATTTAACCAAATGTAAACATGTACATGGGTGCTGGTGGGATGTGCTGGAATCACCTTCAAGCACCATTCAAGTACTGCTGCTGGGCTGGATTCAGTCAGGAAAACGGTTGTCAGATTTTCTGTAAAGGTGCCTTCATCCTGCTAATCTCAATAGAAATGGAGTTGTTTATTTCCATGGGGACAGCATCTCCCTTACAAGGAACCTGATTCTTCCCTTTGCTATTTCAGAGTAAAGCTGACACAACACCACAGGCAACTCCTATGTAAAATGGTGTAATACAAGGAAAGACTGAGTGCCAGGTTTCCTCTCCTGACCTGTAACATAATGTTGACAGAAAGTACTGGTTGTGATCCCAGCCTGTTCCTGAATCTGTTCATTATCTGTAAAATGAAGTACAGTATTACTTCCCTATTTCCCAGGAAAGCAGTAATCATAATTTGATTAATAATTGCAGAAGCATGTTGAGGTTCTTAGATGAAATACACTGCACAAATATTGTCCAGGCCCATACTTTTATGCTATAAATTAGGCAGAAAATGGAAACAGCAAAAAGGAATGGATTAATTGCCACATTTGTTTAATATAATTCATAAATGGATAAATGCTTGTAGCTGTTTGGCTTGGCAACATTTACTGCACTCTGCAACAACAAACCAAACAGACTCACAAGAGGCTGGAGCAAAACCCTGCAATACAGATATAAGTAGTAGACAAGCTTTACCTTCTTGTTCAGGCTGCTTTTATCCCAGATCTGCAGATGTATACAATGTGCTCTTCACCGTTCCAAAGTTATTGAAATTTATTCAAATAGCTACATGAATTGGTTGTATAGAAGAGAAAGGCAGTCTCATAGTGAGACTGCATCTTGTGGTGCTGTTAAGAAACAAGAATTTTTTAAAAAGCAGGAAAAATCTACTAATTGAGTTGTATTCAGTCAACAGGATTCTTCTCTAAGATAGTAAATTATATTATCTTCTTTTTCCCTAATATAAAGGTTAACAACAGAATATCCAGGACACTACGGGGAAGATATGGACATGATGATGTACACTTATGACTATTACATCCGTGGGGCAACCACAACTTTCTCTGCTGTGGACAGGTTTGCTTTTCACTTGTTTTATTAGAAAATTATTTTTAGAAGTCTTTCTTTTCCATTTGCCCCCAACAATGCATGGCTACACATCATCTGCTGTGGTACTCAGCATCAGGCTAGTTGCTTCTGAGGACCAAAGTTCACAGTCCTAAGATTCATTGTCCAGAGTGGTGTATTGGGAACAAGGCATCTTCATGCTCAAGGGGATCATTTGTCATGTCCATCTAAGTAGTAAAAAATATAGCAATGGGAGGTTTGGGTGAATCTAAGCTCCACAAAGTGTAACAGACCTTCAGTATTGTTTCTCACCTACCTCTATTTGGAGTAGATTCCACTGAGGTCGGTAAAAACACAGCCCAAACACCCTGTCCCTTCAGGGGACAAGGGACTTCTTTTGGTCCACTTTTCTTTGAAAAGAAGCAGGGAATCTGTCAGCAAAGATAAGACCACACAAACTGCAATGTGAATGCTGTAAACTGCCCAATCCATTTGAACACAATTCTAACAGATTTGAGGTCACACCAGGAATCAAGGTAATGCAGTGCACATTGATCCCTCTCCAGAAAATGAGTTAGCTACTTTTTTCTGATCAGTCCTGGTCAATTCTTGACATTTACTAATGCTCTTGGGAGAGGCCCTATGGCTACTGAAGTTGCAGTCAGGCAAATAAACGCATAATTTTTCTGCTCAGTTAAATAGAAGTGTCTCTCTCTCTTTACTGTGCTGAACTGCAAAGCTTTAGAATTTGGACAGTGCCATCTGCCCTGGACTACAGAGCGGGCTTATGGATAGTGTAAGCAGTCACTGAACCTGACTGTGGGAGAGGCATCTTGATTCTTTTGAACTAACCTCTAATACATCAATTGTGAGCTATTTCTTTGCTGGTGTCATTTATCAGACACCTCAGTCCAGTATATTACAGCATTTGTTATCAAACATGGCACAGACAGCAAGACAAGGTGTGCTGCACTGGTCTGCCAAGACTGGCTACACGCAGTATTAGCAGGTGAAAACTACAGAGAAAATGTTTAATCGCACACTAGAAAACTTTTCTGTGCCGGTGAATTCTCTGGCCCTCAGCTTCCAGAATGACTAAAGTCAACTTGTGTTGCCGAGCGTATGACGTGAAAAAAAACTCCTGCTATCCCAGTTCAGAATTCAAATTCATGCTGTAACACTCCTCCTGAGTGGCATGCTCACAGGAGTCAGCAAAGTTTGTCATCCTAAATGGTTCTTTGCAGCTGGTTGAGGCAGAACAGAAGAAAAAGCTATTTCAAGTCTCAGCCTGCCAGGAGCATGCAGATGTGCAGCATGTCTGTGTAAACATTTTGTTATTGCTTTTCATTTTCAAGCATATTAAACTTGTGTCCATACTATTTAGTCCATGATGGGTGATGTTCTTGAGCACAAAAAAAAGCCTCTGAAGGTGTTGCAGTTTAAGCTTTCCCAATCACTTCAAACAGCTAGGTATTTTTAGACTTTTTGAATAAACTTGCAGAAATCACATCCTCCCTTCCTGCTCCCTAAGACACTGCATCACTGAGGTCATTGTTGATACACAGATATTTGAGACAGCATGTGATGTTTGTGGTAAAGGATGCAGAAAGTTTAGAATGGTGGTATTCCCACCTCGTTTTCTGTAATTGTTCTCAGTGAGTTTCCATGCCTGTGTATCAGGAATGAATGAACAAGTTGTTGTTGATCATCAGGGGTTTTACCTGCTCGTGTGTGGAGAACAGACTTCAGAAGTGGTTAATGTTTACATTTTCCAGTCTCATTTTAAATGGGTCAAAAGGAAAAAACAACTGTCTATAAAGCAAGACAGAAACAGCTGGAAAAAATTAGCAGAGACCTGAAGTATCCCTGGGAACCCATTGGGGAGTGTGGTGGTAACACTGATGCAGACGGGATGACCTAAGGACATAAGTAAGGGAACATTCGCAGGAAAAGAGAGTATCTTTTGTTCGACGGATTGATACAGCCAAGTTTCAGAGAAGGACATGGGGCATGTGAGGCAGGCTGTAAACAACTGAAACTGCCCACATAGTAAACCCTTGGCAAAATACCTTCCAAAATTAAACCCAAAGAAACAAACAACAAAATAGCTTCAGCCTGAACCCTGAAATGTGCTAACTGATGATGGCATGGCTTCCTCGTGGAACGTTGTTGTGTCGCTGTGGCAAGTTTGGATCAGCCTCTCAAGCCCAGAGAACACCACTGGAACATTCACTGTTCACTGCAGCCCAACCTGCAAGTGAGTAGCTTGGACAGGGAGGTGGGGATTACCAGGCGTGCTTGGTAGGTGCCACAGCTTGTCCTCTGCTACGTAGTATAAAAATAGCACATGCAGACTGTCATAAGCTCATTTCTTTTGCAAAACTGCTCTCTGCTCCATTTATTTGGGTGATCTGAATAGCCAGTTACTTCTCAACTGCTCAGACATCATCACTGAAAGATAAATCGAGACCCAGATACTCCAGCAGTGAGTGCATCTAAAATGCCTGGACAAGCTGGACATCTACCAAGCTCAGCTGAGCTAAATTATAGGATATAAGGTCCCTAATAAGTTTCATATGAATAAAGAGGTCTTTGTGAAACTCAATATGAATAGGAATTCACAGAATTTTTTAACTGGATTGGAAACAGATTATTCAACAATATTTGGAGGTAAAAGATATTTTCCCTATACATCAAAAATTTAAATCTGACAGCACAGGAGATCTGGAATGCAAAAGTGACAGTTCAATATTGATTCCTCAAGCCAAGGAAAATGCATGGAATTAGCAGCTGAGGGGGATGACACCTACAAAGTGGTGTTAAGGATCTGCAAAGGCAAGTTCAGATATATTCTAGAATATGCCATATTGGGAAATTCCTGACGGGATCTATACCCCCACTGGTAAATTTGTAAGGGATCTACAAATTGAAACAGGATGATAACTACTGAATTAGGAACACAACAGCAATAGTACAAAGTAATTATCTGCATCCTGAAAAGCTGGACATGTATATGCTTAACTTTAAACACAATTAATGAGGAAAAAAAAGGTAACAAGCCATTAAATGTATCAACCATGTGCATATATGCTAAAGTGTCTGCAAGTACAAGCTTAAATGAAAAACTTCAGAAATAATTCTGTTCCAATATTTTAAAGCATGTTATTAACTCAGGTGACTAACATACATTTGTTTTAAAGAACTTGACTTTTAATTTTACAATATTCTAATTTAGAAAAATTACTTGACCTAAGATTTTAAAACTAAAGTCTCTCTGACAACGGGTGCTAGTTTAGCAGACCTTAATTTTGACCAGTATAATCCTTTTAATCCACATATGAGTCCTCTTTATTTTTTTATCTCTCTTAGCAGCTTAGTGACCAAAAGAGTAATAACCGTCTTTGAAGAGCATGCACATAGTCTAAATGAGGAATTAAAATAAACCTAAAAATGAATCTTGCATTTCATTAACCTTTAGTAACAGTTTTATGAGGAAATTACAATTACAAAACATGTGGGAAAGATCTAAAGAAAACCAAACTCAAATATTATATAAAATCAGACTTGCTAAGAAGCATGAGACAGACCCAGTTCCAAATGACATTCAGCATAAACTGGTGAAGTAGCATAGTATATTTCCAATTAAAAAATCTCAGTTAACGAAAGTTGAAATGGGACAATTTATACCTACAAAGAGCTTAAGAGTCGAGTTAATCTCATTCCAGGATAGAGTCGGCCAGTCAATGAAACCACATAAGCACAGTTAATACCAAAATCTGGGGTCAGGTGTCTCAGCACATTTCTGAGAGGCAGCAGATTTGGCACCAGTTCCCTCTCTCAAAAACCAGTACTGTGCAGGTGTCTCAAAAAGCAGGCTCCTACTGAATCACGCCAGCAACATCACCTGTCCCATGCCTTGGGTTTAGGAGATCACTATTAGCAGAATCCAAACTTCCAGAAACCTCTTGGAGTACTACCCATTACCAATTTGAATGGCAGCTGCCATCTGCAAGGACTGAACTTTTTATCTAAATTCATGTTAGCCAGTAACAAGCAGCCTAAATTCAACATTCCCTCCACAGCAGGGAGGGAACTGTTCCTCCCTGAACTCATGCCTTTTTGTCAAAGGAAAATTTAATGCACAATAAACTAAGGTGGAAATTCGCAGCTTATTGTTTAAGGTGGAAATAGCCAATGTTGCAGCTATTGGACACTAAATCACAGGTCTCCACTGTTGAATCCTGTTGCTTCAGTAAGATTTCCTACTAAAAACTGTTAGTATGTTTCATATCATTCTCCTGAGAGAGAATACAGGCATCCACCACTCACAGACTGAGAAGACCATGAACTCTCCTTACACTTATAAAGCTTACTCTTCCTCACATGTGACTTGTGGAGATCAAGGATGAGAAATGAATTTAATTTCTCTCACTATTGATTCCTTCAAATCTGTAATACGGGACACTAGCTAGAAGACCTAGTAGTGAAAGATATAAAAAAGAAAGAAGTTAAATTTGCTGGATGAATAACTCCTCACTTAGAAATGGCTTGAAAATCACACAAATATTTTAGTTTTTACACATTCCTAAGCAATATATCACATGACAACAACTTTTGACAGAACCATCCTTTTCCTCTTGGTCTCTAATTTAGAATCAATTTAGGACTGATCACCATCAAGAATCATTGTTTTCTGAGGGATACTCAGAGGCGTAATTATTCAGAGAACCGATTTTCTTGCCCTGTAAGGGAGCATGAAAGAATATCAGACATATTTAATGTACTACCAGCCCGTGAAAACACTAAGCAATCAGACAAAGGTCAGCTAATGGCAGACAGATGTTTTTGTTGCCACAATACCTGGTATAAAGTTATTCTTACTTGTATAGCATCCTCTGCAGTTCTGACTCACTAATACTGATCTCTTTTCTCTCTTTCATGCAGGGATCGTCAGTGGAAATTTATTGTCTGCAGGATGACAGACTATGATTGCCCATTTCAAAACGTTTAAAAAGAAGGAATGTACCCCACTTGGAAAGCTTGAGGACGGACAGGGTGGGATGAGAGTTAGTCATTACAGAAGAAGGGCAATTAGGCTACAAAAAAAGTACCAAGACTCATCAACTGTCTGCTGAAGATATAATTCTTTCCCTCTGGAGCTAATAAATAAATTGCCAGCCCATGTGCTTGCAACAGCAAGTTCGGAGGATGTTTTAAAGCTGCACTGACAGTTGTATATCCCAATAAAAATTGCTTAAGACATACATGTTAATGATACACAATTCTATGGCATATGCAGTTACCTTTCTTATATATACATATAGCCATTCTGAACACATACAACTTTCTTTCACATAGCAACTCCATATAAATTGCTTCCCAGCACAGTGACTCTGAATGAGTTGGAAACATAATATAAGCTTCCCAACATACACTAGACTTTCCTGTTTTCTGCTTTGTACTTGGAATCAACCCAGTCATCCCTACCAGCTTCCCAGCATCTAGTAGCTGGAAGTGTGCTGAAACGGCACCAGGAGGTCTCTGATGTAACTGCATCTGGTGTTACCTGTTACAGACCTCAGTGTAACTCCATTGCAACAAAGGTCTGCCTACACAGGGAAATTCCAGGTATTTACAACACTGGAAGACATCAATATCTCATAAAAATGAGAGTAGATCCATCAATAAAAAGAGAAGCCTAACCCAGCTGTACTGAGAGTCTCTTTTATATCATCTTAAAAGCCTCCAATAACATAAACAGCTAGGAGCTCTACTCTGGGCAAACCCAGGAGTAGGTCAGACCACTCACACCCTCAGTAAAGATGGATATCATGCTCGTCAGGAGTCTGCTTTTCAGGTGGACTGGGTTTCCACTATGGGTGCCTGTACAACATCCATCCACCCTTGGTAATACATTCTTGGTTTAGAATAGACAAATAAATCTAATGACTTAGATGACTTCAGTTCCTTCAACTTGCAGATCCTATTCCCTGTAAAGTATAAGATGACCACGCTTCAAGACTGCACCGCACTTGTGCAGCTGTAATCCAACAAGACTATTGATCTCTTTCAGGAACATCTGAGGTAGGCTTTTCGCTCCTGAACAATCCAGAATTTAGGACTCAGTTTCTTAGCTGATGAAGCCAATGGTAAACTTAGCAGTAGCTTTGATTGTGTTGGCTCAAGGGCCGTGATGACCACATGTACCAATTTAAGGTTGCAAAGCTTCATGGGAAACAGTGCTGTCAGCCAGTTAGTTTCCGTGTTCCCAGCATTTTTAACATAGTTACCACCATACCCTCAAGCGTGAGCACTAAAACTTGTCCAATAAATGAGTAATAGTTTTTGCATTGCTGTAGCCTTGCTCTTCATTGATTTTACTTACACCAGCTTATTAATTTGCACACAAAGAAACCCTCTCTCATTCTCAGAGACCATAAAGGTGATGAGGGAATTTCTGTGAGAGCAAGTTGCTGAGACATGTAAGTAACAGTGAGAAAAAGAATTCAAGAGGCTTAGGGAAGCTGGAGAAGCTTGTTAGCTAACACTGGTAGACAGGCAAAAGAAGCCAAAGGAGCTACAGAAGAGAACACCAGAAGAGAAGGCACACAGGCCAAGAAGCTGATGGAAAAGGCTGGACACTAAAATTATGCATAGAAGGATCATCTCTGAGAACACCTGCTCTAGGTGGACACCTATCTCCCACATAACTGTATCTTGATGACTTAGGCTGCTCTCCATTCTCTGTGCACACAGAGAAGGTTCATGAAGGCCTTTGAGGGGACAGTGCAATATCATCTTAAGCTGATTTAGACCCTCAGTGCCACAGAAAGGAGTAATTCTGGTCTCTTATCCTGGAGCTGCAGTGTCACGTTGTCCCATATCATAGAATCATTAAGGTTGGAAAAGACCTCCAAGATCTGAGTCCAGCCTTTGACCGAGCACCATCATGGCATCTAAACCATAGCACTAAGTGCCATGTCCAATCATTTCTTGAACACCCCCAGGGATGATGACTCCACCACCTCTCTGGGTAGCCCATTCCAATGCTTAACCACCCTTTCAGTGAAAAAACTCTTCCTGATGTCCAGCCTGAACCTCCCTGGTGCAGCTTGAGGCTATTGCCTTTTGTCCTATCATTGGTTGACTGGAAAAAGAGGCCAATCCCCATCTGGCTACAACCTCCTTTCAGATAGTTGTAGAGTGACGAGGTCTCCCCCCCACACTGAGCCTCCTCTTTCTTCTCCAGGCTTAACAACCCCTGCTCCTCTAGCTGCTCCTAATAAGACTTGTGCTCCAGACCCTTCACCAGCTCTGTTGCCCTTCTCTGAACTTGTTCCAGCACCTCAACATCTTTCTTCTTCTGAGGGGCCCAAAACTACACACAGGACTCGAGGTGCAGCTTTCCCAGTGTTGAGTACAGAAGGAAAATCACTTCACTAGTACTGCTGGCCACATTACTTCTGATACAGACCAGGATGTCATTTGCCTTCTTGGCTACCTGGGCACACTGCTGGCTAATGCCACCTTTCTCTCTCATCCCTGTCCCAAACCCTTGTTTCTGCCCATGCTCTATTCCCAGCTCCACCCTAACAGTGCATCTGTGTAGGATACACTTCACAGAACTCCTCTTCAGAAAGTTAAGTAATTCTCAGATGAGGAAAGGCATGGGTGGGAAACAGAATGTATCTTGGGGATGTGCAAAAAAACCCAAAAAGCAGAACCAAGGAAGTGAAAGAGTGGTTCCTGTGAAGTCCTAGGACAACTAGTTAGCAAAACTAGGAACTGAACTTAGTTTTTTTCTAAGATTTAATCTAAGTTGCAGCATCCACTTTTAATGTTCAGGTAACCTTTGTGTGTGGGAAAACATTGCTCCAAAGTCGATAAGGTTCCAGCCCAAATTCCTCAAGACAGAGTAAGGTGATGATGAGCCTGCCTTGCAAAAGTTTGCCAGCTTCAAAACCTGATCAAGATAGCTTTAACTTTGCTAATAGCCATTTTGGATAAGAAAGCCTTTCAACCTGCTCAGGACACCCTACTGAACATGAACCACCTTTCCCTCATGCAAACACAAACCAGATAGCAGTGCAGGGAAATGAACAGTTGTGCCCAGTCAGACCAAGTGCAACTGAGCACAGATGCCCAGTACAGGGAGCTCACAGCAGTTCTTTATTCTCATGTGTTCTGTGACACAGAAGCACCCCACCTACATTTATACTATACTGAGTAAAAGTCATCCCTGATCTGAGAGCCAACACAAAGCCTAACATTTTAAATAAGCCCTTATTTTTTAAAAAATAAGATATCAGGAAATAAAGTCCTATTTATTTAACAAATAACAACAGTATGGATTGAATTCAAACATCTGAGAGAAAAACATTCCTTCATTAATGCTGAGCGTTGCCCCAGCCATGCTACAAGGGCTGCTGATGGCATGCTGTCGGCAATTTTTTAGATAAACTAGGGCAGGGTAATCTTCACATTAACAAAGGGAAATTCAAAAAACAAGGAGAACATTTTGAGGTTTTTCTAAATCTAATTAAAACGTGTGAAGTGGGGTAGCCTGGCAAGGGAGGAGAAATACCAACAGAAACTCCCTTTGTGGGTCTCCTTTAACTTGAAACTCGGCAAAGGTAGGTGCTAAGCCAAACCCAAATTCTCCATCCGATCTACTTGACTTGAAGAGTGGTTTGAATAATAGAACAGTGTAAGTAATTGGGGAAAACAGTCATAGAGGAGGACTCGACTGTTCTTCCTCCTAAATCTCAAGACTAACTTAAAACCCATGGGACTTCTGTTAATTAAAAAAAAAAAAAGTGAACCCTATTTTTTAATATCTTCTGGTTTCTTGGTTTGCAGAATATATAAGCACCTCCAACATTTTTCACTTTCAATAATTTTCAAGTGCTTCAAACGGTGTTTTCCAACTACTTCTCAACAATGCTGAGCCTAGAAATGTGGTTTTTATGTGAAGGCTGAGATTCTTGTTTAATCACTTGACAATGAGAGCTGGGACATCAGAACTTTTTTTTATGTTTTATATCAAATACTATGAGGCTCATGATAAATATGACTTCAGAACACAGCACTGATGAAAAGAAGAAATAGCAAACCCATAGCCATGTTGAAATAAGGCTTTTTTCCTGTAAGATCAAGAGAGACCTTTCAACCTCTTCTAGTTTAGTGTTAAGGATTTTGTAATATGAGATAAACCTGACAGACAGTCATGGCATTATCCAAGCAGAGTGATGCCAACATAGCTGAAGAGAAACTGGTCTGCATGAGAACCAGGAGATCTGGCAGAAGACCAGTTGGCCCTTAGGAAAACTTACTTAGACTTGACCCTTGACTCACAGCCATCAAATCTTTTTCTGTTTTTAGATTTTATTTCAAGTCCATGTTTATCTCATCAGCAACATGTTACTGTACTGACCTGCATCTTTAAGGCTACTGTACCATTTGCAATCAGAGAACATGAACATCACTGGTAGTGGCACTTTGTGCCAGAGCTGTTGGCGTGAACCGTGGGCAGGAGGAGTTCTGCTAATAACATGTTATCAAATATAAAACATTGCTTGTGCTTAGATTTACTTTTAAAGACAGAGTACTTACACAGAGAACTGCTACTTAATTCCTCACTATTTCAAGGTACTGGCATGTGTGAAGTTGATGCCTGGAATAGTAATTGGGACCTATGCATTGAGAAGTTTAGAAAAGGCACAGGGCTGCCCACATATTGAAAATGAAAAACTTACACGAGTTCCTCTGGGTCAGAGCCAACAGGCTTGTCTTTGTCTTTCTGACCTCCATACCTGAACAGCATTGATTTCATTCTTATCCAGTTTGTGAACTTTGGGCAAAGTCAATGCAGTTCAGCCTTAAGCAAGAGTCACACATTTAAATACTTTTCAGGATCTCAGGTGACACATCTCTACAAATAATACTGGAATAACTGTACCTTGAGTTACAGGGAATAAATCAAAGAGTGTGCCAATATACACACAGATGGCCAAGGCAGCACATATTCTGTTCATACTTTCTTGAGACATAAAAGCTCTGAATTGGTCAGGCTGTTGTACTGGATGGTCACTGCAAGTCACTTCTGATTGAAATAGTCTATTCTATTCTATCCTACTTGAAAAATCTAACTGACTCAACCTCATGAAGATCAGGACTCCCTTTGCCTTAGGTTATCTTTAAATCATTCAAGAAGAATAAAGAGAAGTTTTGCTAAGCTTAGCGCTAAAGCCTCATCAACAGGATAAATCTCAGAATAAAAAAAGTCACAGCTATATTTTTGTAGAATGTGAGTTTTAGCTTACATGCTGGATCAAATTCTCCAGGCCTTGCCTGAACCAGACAAATCACCACAGTGCAGAACCTGACCCCAAAGAGATCATCCCAAATTATGGAGAACACAAAAGACACAGGTGCAGAAGAGATGGTTCTATCTGAGAGAAAACTGAGGGGAAGGACAAGAACCAAAGTGAAAACAGTGAAAGAGAGAGATGAAGCCACCTGAAGAATATGCCATTATGTAATTTCTTAAAATAAATGCATGCTCCTCTATCTTAGGAGATGAGATGACTAGGATAATTTAATACCAGCAAAGAATTTGGAGAAAGCTCCCCAAATAACTTTGCAAAGAAAAAAGCCAGCACAGTTATATCAACTACCATCCTCAAAAAGCAGAGGCGTTGCC